AAGTTATCTCTACAATACGCATGACAACCGCATGCTCATGAATAATGATTTGATGGATTATCGAAGTTATGACTAGTACCATTTAACCAAGTCATATGTGTTAGCTTATGGCTTTTGTCTAATATCAAGTGATAAAAACACAAATCAGAGTCCGCTTCAGCACTAATAACCTTGAGTCGACACTCAGCTCTGCCTAGCCCTTGAAGTTGAGAAATCAGTAATCAGCCTTCACTATATAAATACTGGACCACATTACACCATACATAATTATATGAGAATGGATAAATATCTCTAGTATTCGTCAACTTGAACGTAATATCAATTTCATAGTATGAATCAGTAGAACAGTAAAAACCATCAAAAGTGACATTGTAGTACTTGTCAAGTGGTTGAAATTCATAGGAAGCACAACAATACACACTGGTAGTATTTAAACTCTTCCAAATAACGAGTCATTGATTAACAAATAGAAATAAAGTGACTCAAGGTTTCAAAAGGTTACTATGTTAACACTTTTTATAAAATTTTCAACAACAAAAATAACGCAATAGATGTAATGCATGTGAACATTGACATATTTGTATCCATTTGTTAATAAGTGGAGACAGAAACTGAAGTACAAGAATATTCTTGATAGATTTGTTAACTAGCAGTACTTTCAGATTTCAGTAGTTGGTGTAATTTTTGAATGTGACTGGTCTTTACGCATGATCTCATGCAACTATTGCAACTCCGTTTTTATATCTTAACATAACATATAGCTTTAATTATATTAATGTGAGATTGTAGGTTCTGAGGTCTATAATACAGATGGTGTTACGAGTCCAAAAAATCGAATTAAATTTCTGTATCACAAGTGCTCAGTGTTCAACAAAGTCTACCGATTTACAATCTAACAAACCAAAGTCAGTCAAAATCAAATAAATCAAATCTGGAAAATAACAAATCATGAAGAAAAGACTAATTATGCAAAAACATGGCTCCTTTTAGGTGGTTTGAGAGAGTCAGTAGAAAATATGGGATCTAAGTTTTATGCCATTTGAAACTCTATAATAAGGAGTACCTGAAGTTTCGAGGGAATTAATGCTTTTCATAGGATTCGAACCCACATAACTCAACTCGGAGAATTCCCTCTCGCAGCTAGTCACTAATGAGCACATGATAATTTTCAGTCTGAGGTTATGAACAATTAATAATTATTCAGTCAAATCTTTAGGCTTCATTTAGATACAAATTATTCCTCAAACAATTAAATGGGAATAAAATTTAGGATTATTTTTTACATAGTACTGAATTTGAGGGAACTGATGCTTCCTGTGTGGCTCGAACTCGCGTTACCCAGCATCATAGCCCTAAAGGACTTAATTGCAGCCCTAAAGCTTAACGACTGAAGATTAGTAATTCAAGACCAAAACATCAATTGAATTATCATTATTACTTCTGAATATATAACACTGAACCTAATAATTAATAACAGCATGGAATGTGATTGACTCTTCACAAATCAACATGACTAAACGCAGAGACAGTTGTTTAAAATACTCAACTCGGGAATAATGTTAAATATTCATTCAATATTTTTATTTATTTAACCAAAATAAAACCTTATATCCTGTTTCTCATCAATGTAATCAATGATAAATTGTGTACAAATAGAACAATGACACTTTCCTATACAATGAACTAGTCAATATGCATACATTTACTATGAACTAAATATTTAAACAAAAAAAAAAAGAATTATCATAACCATTTATTCTATTCTAATCAATATGTAATACTATCTACATACAAATTGAAATAACCAATCAAAAACCAGTAAAGAAATATTTAAAAACAGCTGATTTCTATTTTAGTTTGCCGTATGTGTTGCTGTTATCTTTGTTGGTAGTTATTTATTTGGGATGGAATGGATTAGAGAATTTCCAGCCAATTTTCTTGCTTTCTCTCTCTCTCTCTTCCTCTTTTTTCCCCAGTTAGCCCATTGTACTTTCCATTATTTGTTTCCTTTCCAAAATTGCTTTTTTTCCTTTATAGAGTTCTATAAATTAAATATGGTGGTGGTTTCTATAAATTACAAATTTTTCTGTCTTTTTCTCTTTTACCTTGAATGGGTTTAGAAAAATCGACAGAATCAAAGTGGAATTGTAATAGTGTTTAAATGTATAGTTGGATCAATTTATACTCGTGTGATATAGATAGACTAATTTTGATTAATTGTGATAAGATATTATGACCTATTTCTAAATGTTCATGAACAATTTAACGTGAACGTAGACAAATGGTAGTCAATTTATTGATTTCCTTCTGTCATTAGTATATTAAAACTATTGTATACGTATTGTATTCACGGGCTAGTTAATATTGTGGAACAACTCATTTTTGTGGTTAATTATAACTAGGTTTTTATATTATAATAATATGTAAGTTTATGCGTGGATTTAGAGTAATTCATCTATGATGAAAGAAAAAGTATCTCATCTGATTATATTACTTGTCAAACTTTTAGTGACATACTAATAACGTATTTATAAATTTGAATGCTAAAGTGGTAATAATCATTGATTGATGAGTAAAACAAAGGACAGTTCACTAGCGCTCGATACTATTACGCAATAGCTTCTAGTTGATGTCAATTCATGATCAATGCTGTTGTCAAACTTGTTTTCTCATAAAAGTTAGAAGTTTTAGTGAATATGAAGAGTATAAACAAACAAACATGATGTTAAAATAAATAACTTTTCCTATGACAGCTTACAAAAAAGACAGAAAATTCTATTTACGATTTTGGTGGTTTCATTCTTTAGACTGAATGGTTTAATTGTACAGCATTAATAGTTCTTCTGAACAACATCATCAGCACCTGAAGTCGTTTTTTATGCAGAACAATTAAAGCTTCATAATTAAATCATCCAGTTCAAAGGGTAAAACTCTACCGAAATAAATTTCTCTATGATCATTATTTATGAAATGAAAATTTTAGATTAATTTTTAAAAAAGTCTCTACAAATGTGATTACACCTTTTGTTGACTAGAAACTTCGATTTAATATTCAGCATTTATAAAACGTTTCAGTATGACGTTACGGAGATGATCAAGTTTCATGATTTCAATGAAATCTATAAAATGAATAGAACGGTATGTATAAAGGAATGCTAAAATTGAAGATAGAGAAAAAGAAGATAAAGGAGCCATGTCACTCAATATCTATAGATACTAAATGTCCTTATTTAGCCAATCCCAACCGAGTAGTTTGCATCTATCAACATGGTTTAAACTAACAGTCAATGATTTTATAAACTGATGACATGTTTTTTTTAGCTATATTGATGTAAGCGGTGATTAGGTACACCACTAAGCTAGTATACAGTGGTGAACAAGTTTAATTCTAATCATTCCGCGATATTGTATCTAGTGGATACCTACTCCGAACACTAATAATTGTGTTGTCCACGTACATTTCCAAACTAGCTATAATTTTCATATTGTTTTCTCTTTTATTGTTATAAGAGAAAATCGATATAGTATATCAAAACGTATACATATAACGATATTTAGTAACTTCAATTCTGACCCCTGTCTGATAACATCCAAATATAGAGTGCAATATAAAAATAGAATTGATGTGTAACAATTAGGGTTTGTTTAAATGAAAAAAAACTTTATTGTTTATTACTATAATCTGAATAATTCAACGCCACAAGAATTCATGAATTTAACCGATTAGTGTTTGAAATGATTAATGTCTTTTTTTAATTATCTATCTACCTGATCGTTTATGCAAATTCACGACAAATGTAATTATGCGAAACGTTCATATTAATGAATATGCATATACATATAGATAGGTGAAATGATGGTTAATCACAGCTATCACACTAGTAGTAAGAGAAAATATAACGGAAGTGAGATTATGTTACCAGGCAATCGTATGTTTTCTTAAACAAGGTTATATATTATATATTCAGTATTTGATTGGCAGTTGAATTCAGGACTTGTATTTCGTACTGTTTGGGACTCGTCAGCTGAGTGAGTCTATTAAATCTGTGTCCCTGTTCATACAGAGACTCGAGCTCTGTGTCTTTTACTTTAAATACTAATATGTTACTCACTGAGCTACTGATTCTAAGTAGCTACTAACATGTGTTTAACGGATATTATTAAAGATTGAAGTTACATCTATCTGATGAGTTCTAAATGGGACACAATGTGCATCCTGGATTCCACTGCTAGCCACATATCAAATATGTATGAAAACTTATGATAGTAAATATATAAAGGTGATCCACCAAGGATGTAACAGAGGCTAACCAAATGCACTACTGAAGCATTGGCAATCTATAAACTCAAGCCCGAACTTTGCATGCAGAAACGATTCGTCCAACCTCTTATCCTTCCTTGACCCTAATTCCTTTTATCGTTATGTTTCGGGTTTTTCTCCTTTCTTCACTTTTATTTGATTATTATTGATTTTTTTTTAAAAGGAATGATTGTTTTGCAATTTCAAATACTAATAAGTTATTATTATTATGATTACCTTATACAAGTTTGTTTGATTATTATTCAGTTTATTACTATTATGCCATTTATGTGTGTCGTTTCTTCTTTATATCTGACAATTGAACAATTATCTGACCCATCAATTATTTTCATCCTTACCCCTTGATTAGTACGTAATCTCATTTGATATTTAGTGTCTAATCAACTTATGATGTAATCTTTTCTATCCTGCTATAGATATATATTTTCCATATAACTATATATATATGAATGTATAGCTTAAGTAAATGATTTCATCGAAAAGAACAATACTCTAATTTAGTGGTAGTAAGTAATGAGCAAATTATTTGTTGATCAAGTTTAAACTATACCCAATAAGGTTTAAGATTTGATAGCAAAGTTCACTCGAGAATATTGGATATTTTTAAGTGATAATTACTAAAAGCATCATTGTATTAATATTTCAAAGATGAATATGACGATAAGGTTAAAAAGCATACTTATATCAGCATCATCATTATCATCGTCTTGTTGCATATCATCACTATTGCCATTATCTTTTGCTTTCCGTTTCCTCTTTTTCTGATTGACGATATCCTACAATGTAAATAAATGAAGATGTACATATAACAAAGAGAGAGAGAGAATAGTATTATTAAGTAATAAGTTATATTATGAATTTGTGCTGATGCATGAACTGCCTACCTCGACGACTGATATCAACTAGTTTATAAGCGGATTGGGAGATTTATTTATTTGAACACATAAACATTGGTATAAGGAAACACCAAACATATATATATGTGTGCCACACTTCGTCATTCGATTCGTGTGAGGGCTGGAGTACTGTCTGAGATCCCAAACCGGAGCAGGTGGTTTTCTTAGGAAGCCAGTTCTTGAGCCTTTGATCTAGAGGTCTAATTCATAAGCCAGTGGAGCAATGTTACGAGGTGCAGTCCCATGGTAGTTGGTGACCAATAATAGGTCCATACGATATCTGTTTCCTTGTAATCCTGGAGCCCATGTGCACCATTGGTTTGGAATCACGGTTTTCCAACTCCCCTAGGTGGACTCTGTGTCCATCAAGCCGGTTAGAAAGTCGGACATTCGCTTTTCGTAAACAAAAACATTGTTCACAATAGCTCAGATGTATTAGCTTTTCATATTAATTTAGATCTTCTATTTTAGTATTATTTCAAAAAAAACTTTTCATCACCTCTTTTCAAACGATACTTTCAATGCTAATTTTTTATAATTATCATTACTACGACATTAGTTCGATTCTTTTGCTGATGTGGTAATTTGGGTCGACCCATAGAACTTCCAAGCTCTACGTTGGTTATAATTTAATGGAGACTGGTCGGTTGTTTACAATGTTTATATCTGTTTATTCATAACCTAATTAGGTATCACACTGTGGTTCATAACTTTAACAATGAGAAGATTCAGACATCTCTTACATATGAATTAAAATTCACCTCGGTTTTAACTGTCAGTAGCTAAGCAGAAAACGTTAAGAGGTTTGAAGCGAAAGCCACTGGTTCGAAATTCCGGTGTGAACACCAACACTAGGAAGAACAGCGCGTCCGGGATATCACTGCTAGTTAAACAACCCTACTTAAGATATTTTTCATTATTTGGCTTCACACTATCATTTATATCACCAGTGTCTTGCTATACTGATACTAAGTATGGCAGTTGTATCTGACATATTAATATTAGAAAGACCTCAAATTATGTAGTTAATAAATGATATTGCTAATGTATAAGGAAATTCATAGTTACTTTTGCTGTTATCTGACTTGTTATTGCCGCTTTAAGTTTGTTATTTTTGTTACGCCTCAATACTATAACTATAGTTATTTTGACTTGTCTAAAAATTAAATTTTTCCAGAATTCCACTGAAATCATGAACCGATCTAAGTTAGACTATGATTGAAGACCTGGGAGCATTGAACGGCCATAGCATCTTGGTACAGAACACCTCAGAAGTGCACATCTGTGAATCCGCACACAGGAATCGAGCTCAGGATATTCCATCTTGTGTGCGAATGTCTAATCTATGACACTGTGTGACCATCCATCATTATTTTTGGTGAGCGATTGCTTTACACTTGACACAGTTACCATCCATTGGTCACAGCTTCTTACAAGAACACTGAAAATCCCCTTTAGAAGCTAGTCACTAGTGAGCATATGATAAATGTCAGAGTTCCAGACTATTTGCCTCACTCTTGTCGTGTGAGTGATTATTTCTAAATGTTATGTATTAATCATCCAGTTTATGAAATTCATATAGATCCCATTTGAATATATTAGAGGAATCTCATAATCTTTTTTAATTCGGAATCACGGTAGACTATCTCAAAATAGAACAACAAAACGTAACAAGTCTTATATTGGTGTTAGTGACTGACTGATTTGATGAGTAGAGTTTCGAATCTGTTAGTATATGACACATGACAACAAATCATAATACACATATTTATCAACAGTATACATACCATTTACAATAAAATTAAGGATTTTCAGTAAATGAACAAAATAGTGATTATTCGGAATTTTCTAACCATAAATTCGTAGAGACGAAAAAAAACGGGAAACATATTGATTTTGATAAAATAACTAATAAGAGACTACTCATTATATTTAGAGAAGTAATACTTATTTATTGATTCAGCGAACATTTTTAATTATCCAATTATTTTATAGTAATTTGGCATAATTCAAAATATGTAGCGAAGTAGTAAGTTACAAGCATTTCAAGCAGACGGATGACGGTTAGGAGTGGAATTCAGGATGCAATTTTCGTCATACTTGGGACTCGTCAACTAAATGTAAGTGAATCCCAGAGTTGATTTTCATTCCGTGACTATAACCTAGCAATTTTCACTTTAAATGACATGACATTATCGATTGCAGTCCTAAATACTAGTGGGAAGATCCAAACCAATAGTATATATGGATTAAACTTCAAATTCGAGCCATTGTACAAGTCAGAGGCAATCTCAACTCAATAGCTAAGTGAATAATCCGATGAGGTTTAAAGTGAAAGGGACTAGGTTCAAGTGACAGAGTGAAAATCAGCTCTGGGATACAGGTACATTCAACTGACGAGTCCATCGAATATATATATATATATATATATATATATATATATATATATATATATATATATATATATATATATATATATATATATATATATATATGATATTATTGAATGGCGAGTCATGAAAGGACATGAGGAACATCTGTTAAATAAACGCATAACACATCAAAGAATTAGGTAAATTTTAGTAAAGAAACCATAACAAAAGTCATTCAATGAATGTTAACTATCCTTCAAACGAAAATAGGCGAAACACTATGGTGTATACAAACTAACTAACTAACGCATGATCATTACCTGATCACTTTTGTCGTTGTTTTTACTTTCATCTTCTACACATAGTTCTTGTTGTTCAAAACCTTCTGCTTGTACCTCATCATCATCACTATTGTCATCATTGTCATCGAATTCACTGTCATTGCCTTCATCATCACATTCTGCCTCCTCTTCTAGTTTCTTGTCTAATTCGTTTAATAACAATTTGTACATGCTAACAATAATTGGTACATCAATCAGTATTTTAGTCTGTTGACCTTAAAATTAACCAAACAAAATAAAGAAAGAAAATCAAATGATCTACAAAAAAGAGAAAAATTACCATATGAAATCATTAGGATATTTTGTTTTATAAGAAAAAAGAACGACCCATCGAATTTAATGACTTATAATTCTTTCTGATTTATGTGAATATGTAATAATTAAACTTTTTAGTGCGTGTGATGGGAAAAGTTTGTATTTTTCAGTTATTAATATTTAGGAATAAAACTGATCCGATTTTGTTTGTAATATACATGTACATATCCTTTCTAACACATTCATACTCGTCGAACAGGTCAGTACTTAACTGGATTCTGATGTTTAAAGTAAAAGATATTAGAGTTGAATGATAGAGTCGATATCAACATTGAAATATGTTAGGTACATCAAACAGAGGAGGACCAAATACGAAGAGATGAGAGTCTTGCAGTCAAGTGCCAATCATATACTAAATAGACTATTTTTTATGCTAAGTAATGTCGGTCTACATTTTTCAATTATATATGCGTTCTCTGAACATGAATAGGCACTTAGTATGTTGTGATTTCTTGAAAAGAAAAACAAAGCAAAATCGTTGCACTTTAAGAGTTGATGAATACCAAGTTATTTTTTGTATTCATCAAAAATTGATCTCGTTCTAGATGTCACTAAAAATCTAGGGATATTGAACAGCTATAAGAACTCACAATCCCGGAAACAAATGGAACCAGGAACCTTCGAATCTTTCTGTGAGCGCCCGAACCATTAGAACCACTGATTTGGTATTAATTAATGTCACAATTTCAACTTCAGCCAATTATGGTCATCCGATTTTATGATAACAACAGTTGCTCTCCCAATATATATATATTATAGTTGAAATCCAGAGCAATAACGGTGTTAAGAGAACTTTTTTTCATTAATGACTTCACAGGTAAATATGAATAGTCAAAAAAGAATCAGGAGGGCAGTAATTAAACACAGACAAACTATCCACTGAAAAAGATTTCATATTTCTAAATAGTGTTTGGTACAGATTGACTTTGGTAGTTAGGGTACCAGATATAACTCATTTTAGATTTTGAATGAAGTTGAAAGAATGTTAACGATGAGCACACTCACAATGTGCGGTATAAAAATCAGGGCGTTTAGGTGCTTATAAAAAAACAGTAACTTTTAAAAAATGAATCGGAATACGTTGGTGACAATGTTAATGGATATCAGCGTCACTATCAACATGAGTACCTCATGACTAGATAATAATAAAGTGACTTCATCGTTAGATTACTTAGACCCATAATCGCGAAGAGGATAATTTTATCCAACTAACTCCCATTGATTTTGTGCAAAACGTACAAATGACACGGTCTTTTGGAGGTTGCACTGCAATTACGATTATTCGTAGAAGAGTTAGCGTGAGTTTATGGGTTAATTGCCTTACCAAGGTCAGCAATCACATTTTCATCTCTTGGTAAGTCTGACCATCTACAAACTACGGATCAGATGTGAGTATTTTCATTCAATTTTTGATAATACAGCGAACGACCACAGAATAAAAATCTTATTTAACATGTATTCACCGTGAAAATGTACAAATATCGACAGCGAAATCAATCATTATGTCGTTTACTGAAAATAATTAACTAGTGGAACAATATGACAACATGAAAACAATATACATGAGATGTTTATCATGTGTATGAGGCAGTGTTAAACTAATCGATTCAACTAACCAATAGTAAGTAATCCATTGAAGAGAAAAAAACACATACTAACATGATTACTTATTTGTAAATTATTCAGTGGACACGACTTTAGGCATTACAAGTAACTGTCGTGTTAAGACACGAAATTCAGACAAATCCACAAAATATACAATTAAATAATCAAAGTTATTATAGATTTGTTGAAAAAACAATATCAGTATACTTAAAATTAATAACAATGACGTAGTACAATTCATTATCATTCCTATTAACGCATTGAATCTAACGACTCTGTAGTGAAAACTTTATTTTATAAAATTAACTGCCAATTCATTACGATCAATATTTATATCAGTCAAGTTTTTATGGGACTCTTCAGCTGGACGTAAATGAATCCCAGAGGTGGTGTTCACTCTAGGACTCGAACACAGTACCGTTCGATTCAAACGTCATCGCGTCAGCCACTTAGCTACTGAGTTCAAATAGCCACAAGCTTGTGAAACGGAGTGAATTTTAATTCATTTTTGTATTGGCACATCTAGTTGATCAGCCCTGAGTTCCGCTGCTGACCACCATCCATCTCTGCTTATATCTTAAGGCACAAGTTACACATATGCTAATAAGAGACTGATCAATTGGAATCCTAAACATTAGTGTGAAGAATCAAACAACCAATACAAAAATGAATCAAGTTTTTCTATGACCTAAAACTAACAATGTATTTGCACCATTAAAACATGAATGAATTATTAAGTGGATAAAGTGATTTGTTGATCAGGGACACAATCCATTTGTAGAGCTATTTTTTTCTAAATGGTAAAAAGAAAGCACTATCAAACAATTATTTTGTCTTTATGAAAGGACTCATACAATTACATACACATAATCGGGAAACTCTAATTAACCCATCTTGTTATAATTACACAGAAAAAAATACACCAAGTTAATCATAATACAAGCTAAAAAAAAATAATGTATACTATTCACAATCGGAGTATTTACCGATTATGCAAAAAAAAGCTGGACACTAACTAGATTTCGATCTGGTTTGAATAGATTCATTATTATCATTATTGTCCATTTCTTCTTGAAGTGTTATTTGCATAATACGTTCATCTTTTGTATTGATTGTGTGCAGTATCAAATTAGCCAATGCCATGGTACTGAAAAAAGGAATATTAGAAGGAAGAAATAAAGCGGAATATATTAGTTAGATTTATAAAAAAGAAGGGAGAATAATCGAATGCATAAAAGTTATGTACACGCAAATAAATAATAATTACTGTTATTACTGTTTCAATATTAAAGTGTTTAGAATAAACAAGAATGTGATTATTTATTGCTAGTGCCTACTAGCAGTAAGGTATGTCGATAGTACTTAAAAAGAACTTGGATTATCTTAGTGTCATTCATCACCAACTCAGAGCCTAAATCAGATGTGCATTGATCCTAGTTAAACTACTTTGGTACGACAAGATGAAATTAACAAGATGTATAGCAAAACCGATTGAAATAAAATAGCAATATTATTTGTGATTTGAACTGATCAGGTTTCAATCAACAAACAATCTGTCCCTGTAAAAGTAAATAGGTAATCAAATTATAATCGATAAACGAATTAGGTTAACTGAAATCTGTATGGGTCAGACATCTGATAAGTTTATCGAACTGATGATAGGAAGTCGAGTGGGATTGATAAGAAGTCAAATAAGTTACTACTTACATCCATTGGAAAACTAATGAAACCTATAGAGTACAGAATAATTGTATGTTTACAACAGTGTACAACTAAAACCCCACCATAAACCAAACCAGTTATTTTCAGGTCTCAGGGTCATGGTCCAGTGTTTACAGACAGTTTTTTAAAGGTAATAACAGGAAACCGAGAAATAACTAAAAAAGCTGTGTAACTAGATAAGCAACTCATAAGAATATACACGCGAGCATATATGCTGCGACCTAAACCAATCGACTTACACTAATAAGGAATGTCGTTTAAGTAAGTGAACGATACTGTTCAACAGGGTTTTACATACACATTATGAAACTGCTCATTCATGGTAAGGGGTTCGATCTCAAATACAAATGGTTGCCTGAAGAAACGTATCTCTCTAAGAGTCAAGCAGACGTAGCCATATGTCTATCTAAATTGACCATGTGGAATCAAGTTATTCAGTTTACTGTAATAATGTTTTTGGAGAGAAAAAAATAAGTAAACCAGTGTGATGTTTTATTTGAGATGGTTGAATTTTGACAATAACGATTAAGATAATGGGCTTTCAGTTGGCCAACGGTGAATTCTATGTACAATAAACTGAAAAAGCTTCTTGTAATACGATGCAACGAAGAACTTGAGTAGACAGAACGCCTGTCACACAACATTTCAATGTTAGTAATCCACATCCCGAAAGAGATTGGAAAGACAGGACTATGTATTCCGAATACAAGGAAAACATTGAAAAGGAACAACTCTTTTTATAGTAACATTCAATGACTTTGGAGATCATAATAAAGTTGCCAAGCTGAAAAGAATAAGAACCATTGGGGTAACAGGTGTTAACTGAGGTTTGCCTCTAAAAAAGAACTAACATATGGAGACAAAAAAACTAGATAACTTGAACTTTTCTTAGCAGAAATAACCAACAATAATTCTGAATTACGGATAATTAGGTAATCCTTCCGACACGTAACACGACCTATGAGAGCTAGATAGACTGGACTAAGGAAACACAACACATTCGATAATGGAGAGAAAACTTATGAATTCAAGAAATATAGAACATCTCGGAACAAAAAGTAACAATCATGAACTTTAGGACAGTCAGTCAGTCAACTGCAACGTAGGACCAGGCACATACATGCATCGGTCCAAGTTGTCATACCGCATTAGCACAGCAAGATGAACACCGGATTCATAGAAGTAGTTAATTCAATGGTGGTAATATATAAAAGAAAGATTGCATATAAGGACATATTGCAAGAAGGAATTAGTTGGTAGAAAGATATAAAGCTATTTTAATGGAACACAACGAGTGTATACACCTACACCATTGTGATAGATTCTGAGCCATGTCACTAAGAGTCTCCAACCAGTGGTTACTACAGTTGCGCGGACCCCAACCAAGTAGTTTGCATCTACCAACATCGCTCAGATTAGAAGTTAGTGACTTTAAGGACTGATGCCACATTTTAGTTTGGCCGCTCCTAACTTTCTTCCAACCATTCCCAACACCGATTAGCATTGTGCGTGGTGGTAATCGGTGTTCAGGCATACGCAACACGTGACCCAACTGTTATATGTTGTGACCGCCGATTAGAGGGGCAGCGAATTATCGATCGGACCAAAGACGCTTAAAACACGTAAGAACAGCCTAGAGTTCTGATTGGTCCTGCTTCCCTGTCTAGCCCAGCCAGTTGAGTCCAAAACACAAGTCTCAGCCTCTGCGATATGAATCATTATGTTTCAAACATACTCTGTTTATATACCAATCAAACAGACCACATCGTACCATAAAATAGAAAATAACATTTGTACAGGATTTGAACAACAGGAAAATGACACGTGAAATAAATATTGACCAATAGGAAAATGATACCATTTCAAGTCCAAGGATAGCATTAGACTTAACAGGATAATTTTTAAGATATTTTTCTGAATATCTCAACACCAAACATTTCAGTCAATGAAGATTCACAACCTCATCAACTGATTTGCCATCATTCCCTAATACCCTGCGTCTAACCTCATTATTACTTACCCGGTGATCCCAGAAGATGCGAGCAACTTTAGGACACATAACAAAATTAGCAAACTAAGAGTGAGAACAAATAATCAATTGATAACAAAGGTCAGTAGGGTAAAATGAAGTGATATAAAGTTATCAGAGACTACATCAGACGTCAGAATCACCACTTATTAACAAAAAAATATTTATAACAAGTACAAATTTCATTTCGGATTTTCTTGTCATTCTTACCTAACTTGAATTTCATAACGTGAAAAATAATACGGTTGACAATTACACCATATTGATAATATTTCTTGTAGTATAGGCTTTCCGGATAAGTCTGGTATAGTTGACAAGAAATCAATAGCCAATTTAGTTCGTATACGAAACAACAAGATAATGACGAAGAGTAAGCTTTGTCTGGCTCCATGAATACCCTTTTGTTGATCATTATATACTAACTGTGAAGATTGTTTGTGATTATTGCCTTGAGGAGAGAAAAAACGCATTATTTTTGGTATAAGTAGTACGTAATCAACAATAAAGATTCATCAATAAAAGTAGAGTGATTTTTAAAAGTCTGAACTGTAATTGAGAAAATTGAATAAAACAATGGGAATTAAACGGAGCTTCAAGCAGTCATAAAACTTGGCAGCTACTTACAGATTTATATAGTAGGTTGTTTAGTCACATATATATTGTTAAATAATCAGATTAAATTTGAACGGTAAATAAGAAATGTTAATATTTCTCCATCCCAATGGGCAGTTGATTAAAGGTCTGTTTCTTACACTGGTTGGTAGAACATGCTGAAGAAGACACTCGTGGAGAAAATACAGTTGTTCCCAAGTGGAAGCCTGCCTTTTGGCGAAAGTCTACTATTTTCGAACAACGAGAAGCGTATTACGCTTATATGATTTTGAGATGGTGGAGAAGATTTGTAGCTCAGGTGGATGAGTGGTTTGGTCGACCAAACCATCCAACTCAGAAAACAAAACTCCAAAATGTTAATATTCGTATAATTTGACATCCTAAGACTGAAAGTTGACAAATTACATAACAGAACTCTTAAGTTAGCATCTTCAACAAGATAAACTTAAGGAAATATGTGAAAAATTACATCAAAAAACGATGGTTACATTTATTGGCTGCATGAACACAAATTTGCTGTCAAATATCATAAAATAAACATAAAACGTCATTAATATTTATTCTTGTCAGAAAAATTATGGACAAGAGTTGGCTTGGAAAAAACACATCGAAAATACATAGGAAGTAGAAAAAAAAACACATCAGATAACTTTTTACAAGATCAACACACAAAAGAATCAATAGATTTATTGAGATCAATATTGAATCAATTATCCAATGAAATAATTGGTAAACACAATAATAGAAATCAGAAACCTATTCAACGAGAAAGAAACAGTTAAAATAAAAAGATTGGCAGGAAATATAATAGCACAATTGTTGTCGGGAGCAACAAGTCAACATTTCATGTCTATAAAACAACAAACCTGAAAGAAAAAGGGGGGAGAGAGAGGGGAAAATAATCAATAATTGGAATGTTTTAGCTGTTCATTTCTCGCCAAAAATAAGTAGATACATATTACAAAGGTTTAGTTAAGTATTGGTAGAATTGTCGGCAATAGTGTTAATTATTTAGAAGAAATTGATAGTAGTAAGCTGCAAACCAATATGATTGATGACAGAAGTTCATGACATCAACATCATAAGGTACCAACAAACATGACCGAATGAAAATAAAACACTAAAACAAGGGAAAACGGAATGAAAAGTGATACTTGCATTGAAGGAAATATATGTAGGTATTTGCACACGCTTTTGAGTAAAAAGTGAGAAATACCTTTAAATAACGTTGTTTTTAGTTATTACAGAATCATAATAGCTTGGAAGCATAGTGAGACGATGTTTCAGCGGATAGAACTTAGTAACGGGTACATAGTTTGAAATTTAAGTATCGGAATCGGATGTTGGGTTCATCTGATTCTATTCCACGACGATGATCCGTGATAACATCAGGAATAAAAATAAGAAACTGTATTTCTGGAGATATTAACGACTACAAAATAGCAATCGATAATACATACTATATTCGTTTCGTAATTCAACTCGACCAGTATTTAATTTCTTCTGATGAGCATTTACATCCTTGTCGACGGTACCTGGTTTGTTTAACATGAAATCTGTCTCATAGCAAGGTATTAGAGAATAAAGGATTTGGATGCATTTAAGTACATTATACACATTGAATTTGTTCGAAAAAAGGTGGTGCTTTTATTACGAAAATTAAATGTTAAAGAAACCACTAGTGAGAAGCATGAAATAGATATAAAGTTGATATGATGGGAAGAAAAGTCAAAATTCGATTGATGTACTCATTATGAGTTTTGTTAAACATTACTTACATTTTGATTCAATGTGATGAATGTTCGGTGTAGTAGTTGTTTTTTTTTCTTGTATAATATTTTATTTTGTATAACATAACGTTATTTTTGTATCTGATTGACATGAACTATACTCATCATATGATTTGTTATAACCCTAACTATTTTTCATATATTTGATTTCATCCGAATTATTAATCAAAGTGTGTATACAATCAATGTATGAGTGTATTTTTGAGTCGAGTCGTCGTGTTTTGGGGTTAATAAACCTTCACTTATACCAGTCTTTGTGTTCTTACTTTCGCGTCGTGGGAATTGCGGAGGTCCCTCGTTTCGAGTATAAGTGATAAGCGTTTCCGATACAACAATCAGCGACGACCAGGCATAACAGAAGTAATTAATGAATCTATCCAAGTTTACACTTGTATTGAGTAAGAGAATATAATGCAGAATGAGTGGGCACTAAGTTTTAAATACTTTGGATCACTACGAATATTTAACAGAATAAAATATTACCAACAACTTAGCTATTCCTAGAAACAGTTAATGTATGTAAGAATAGATATATTTTAAACTATACCACTAATTTTCAGTTATTATAAATGGAAGTATCTGACTAATCATACATACCAAAAGTTTATATTATATGCTTTAAATATATTTTGGAACATATATTTAAGCGGGACACAGAAGCAGTATTACATGAAGCACAAACGTAGCTCATTACACCACTAACAATTAATCTACTGAACACGTATTTAATAAATTCCGAAACACTATTTGAAACAACATCAACAAGTCAATAAAATGGATAAATTACATCATTCACCAGGTATTTTGGTATCAGTTACACTCTAGATGTGAGGGGTAATGATGTCACACATGTTTCTCAAGCTAAGGTAAATAAAATGGGATTCAAACCTTAAGAATTAGCGGTTGAAATCCAAACTCGTTAAAAATTAGACAGCAGTTTCACCTCAAAATGTAGTGAGTAAATATATCCTATAATCTATTTAAACAAAGCTATGATAACCGTTTGATACATAACTTTCGAATGATATACCAAAAGAAAGTCGGATATGAAGTGACAGTTGATGTTGTTGTCTACGAAAATGAGAGGACGAAAAGCGAATGTACGGCGCTTTAACCGGATCTCAAACCAATGGTGCACATGGGCTCCAGTATCCTGAAGGACCAAATGGCGTATGAACCAATCGTTGGTCACCGGCTACCATGGAACTGCATCTCCTTACGATGCTCCACTGCCTTGTGGATCAAATCTTCAGGTCGAAGGCTCGGGGTGTGGCCCCCTAAGAAGACCACCTGCTTCGGTTTGGGCGTCCGGGCAGTATCACAGCCCACACACAAATAAAATTTTGTGTGGCGCATATATATATTTGTTGCCCTCTTGTACCAATATTTATGTGTTCAAATAAATAAATAAATAAATAAAATGATGATTATAATGTCGGTTACAGAGTGCAGTTTTTGTAAGAGAAAAGCCATGTTACGTAGTTGAAGATAATTAATAGTAAACGCTAAACATGCTAATTGGTACTTACAAACAAGTTGTACTCGCGATCTTAAAAAAACTAATGCTCTTTCTAGGATTCGAATGAGCATCACTCAGCTTCATAGTCTGAGGCGTTACTGGAGAGTTATTTGAACTACAACTAATATCTTGTAAGACTGAGATATTTGCGACTGATTGGTCGCTGAGTAGCGAGCAATGTCATGTTTGTTTAGTTTTTTTATATCAAATAAATCTGATAGATCAGTACGACAACTGGTGAGAAAATTATGTTCAGAATGTGAAGTAGATTGCCTGCAACTACGTAAAATCGTAACATAATGTACACGAGATCAAGTCACTTATACTAATGATCACATAAAATACTGTTGATCGATTCGATCAGCATTACGTAACTATGTTATGGTTTGCAAACTGAGTGATTAAAAACTGGTAGAATGACCATGTCGATAACAACAAGGTGTTTTGAAATAGTGTCACAATCATAAATAGCAATGTGGATATGCAGTGAATAACATCATTATTGGTGAATTTGTAAGACAGTTTTCTTGAGAGAAAAACTTTAAATTTTTGAGCGGGTAATCAGTTCAACTGTATCGATTGTATCATTCTTTCTCACGATCGAAATTTGATGACTTAATTAATAAAACAAAAATAAAATGAAAATAACTTTAAAATCTGTAAAAAATATTTCACAGGGTTTTGTTGTATTTTGCACTTGATTGAGTTGAGCTGATAGTAAATTGGTTAGTTACGAAAGATTAATATTATTTTAGTAAGAACGGAATCTATTGCAAACATGACAAGGCGATAGTTGATAAACAACTCTTCAATAGTCATCACTAAAGACGAAACTCAAAACCAGGCAACAATTTATAAGAAAGCTTGATATTGAATAAAAACTAACAAAAGCGGGACAACTCTCTCTCTCTCTACATAGTAACTAAACATAATCATTACGAGATGCAACTAACATTTAATCAAGAAAATTAGATAACCTAGCATCGTCTTAACAGATTGTTGTTTAGTAGAAAACGAAATAAATAAAAATCATGTTTAAAAAAACAGTTCCACAAGGCAGATATATCAAAATATTATTTTAGAAAATATGGAATGATATGCTTCATTAATAAATAAAACTAGTTTTTGCAGGTTTGATGGCTTTAACTAGTTAGTTATTAGGAAGCCAATGATAAATAAAAGGTAGCTCAAATAGATAAGGATGGGATTGAAATTATCTTTATATACGTTCATACACACATATCTACATATGATTTTAAACATTATAAAGGATAAGTGATAGAAAGTATCTAAGATACTTTGGTTATAATACGTTGACAGATTATTATTACAATCGAAGTGATTATGGATTGAATATAACAACTCGAACTAGAACAAGAGTGAAGAAGTGGGTGAATACAATTAGAATAGAAGTAATAGTAATAATAATACAAGAAATCATTTAAATACTGATAAATGAAGTGATATAAGTACACAGATGTGAATGTTAGACAAAAGCAGGAAAACTTAAGTTCGTGACCTATTTAC